ATACCTTTTCTTTTCTTTTCTTTTTTTTTTTTTTTTTTAAGTTGTTAGAGGGTACATACACTTGCCAGAGACATACAGGAGAGGAGAGGGAGAAAGCACTCCCCAGTGGGGAGTGGTCACACAATAGCCCTTTCTCCTCCGTTTCTCCTATCAGTGTTTTGGGCATGCACACACACACACACACACACACACACACACACACACAGAGCACGGTTTTCTTTTTTGTTTTGTTTTGTTTTGGAGTGATTTTTGCTATAGGGTGCTTTTATACTTGCCAGAGAGACAGACGCCCCCTCCAGGGGGATGGTCTCTCTGCAATCCCTTCTTCATTTGCCCCTTGGGATTTTGGACATGCACACACGGACACACGGACACACAGTTGAGTTTCAAGCTGCTGGGACTGGGACTTGGACTGTGGTTGGCCACATGGGAGTCCAGCACCTTAACCTGCTGGCCCCTTGGCTTGGTTTTCAATCCACCAGGGCTGGGATTTGAACCACATGGTCAACCATGTGAGATCCAGCTCCCTTAACCATTAGGATATGGCCCAGCCAAATGCATTTTTAAAAAAATAGTTATTTTATTTTATTTATTTATTATTTATTTAAATTTGACCAGAGAAGGAGAGAGAGTGAGAGAAAGCGAGAAAGCAAACCACCTGGTCTAGGACTCAAAACACAGTCGGCCATGTGGGAGTCCAGAGCCCTTACCCACCATGCTGCCTGCTGGCCCCCTAAGTGAATTTTTAAATATAGTAATCAAATTGTATCACTTTCCTGTTCAAACCTCCCCAGGGGCCTTCCCCAGCTCTCATGTAAAATCCAAAATCCTTATCTACACATACGAGGCATGATCTGACCAACACTGGCCCCATGCATGGTCTGACAGTTCGCCTGCCCTCTGTCTTTGCTTCATCCTCCTCCTCGCTGGTCTTTGAATCTGCCATGCGTGTGGCCACCTCAGGGCCTTTGCACTTGCTGTCCCCTCTGTGGGAACGTCCTTCCCAGGCACCTTCCTGCCACATCACCACAAATATGAACATGCTGGTTTCCTTGTCCTCGTTCTGTGCTGAGGACAGTGTAATACGGCCACAGCCCTCACGTCATTGCCTGGTCTATCAGCCAGCTTTATTTTCTTCATGTCGTTCTCAGAAGTCGTCTTTCACATTCTCAGAATTGCTTATTTCTTGTCTGACTCTTCCAGTGGAATGTAAACCTCACTAGAACCGCGATTTGGCTGTCTTTTTGTTGCTCTCTTCCTAAGCCTGAACCTGGGACAGTGCCTGGCACACAGTAGGCCTTCAGTACCACTTGTTGAGTGAGTGAGTGAACGGCCCTAAGGAGCTGGTGCTGTGTGGACCCTCGTCTTACAAAGGAGGGAGTCAAGACAGAGAGGCTGAGTCACCTCCACTCGCCCTGTGCTGGGCGAGGTCACAGGGACCAGTGGGGAAGGGCTACAAGGGCTGCCCCGAGGATGTCCAGAATATCAGCGCGAGGCCTCACTTCCTGCGTCACCATTCTGCGCCATCCCGAGCGTGCACGCGCTGGGGCAGTACAGAGCGCCGGTCTCACCGTGTGCCCGCTACGTGCTGGCCACTGTCCGTGGGCTCTCCTTTCCTTCACTCTCCTTTACTCCCCCGGCCCCTTTACTCTCCACGCTAATCCGAGAACATGGTCGCCACCGACCTTCCCATTGTCAGGTGAGAAGGCTGAGGCCCTGAGACTAAGAGGCTTTCCAGCGTCTCACGCTGAGTTGGGGTGAAGCTGTGATCTGTTCTTTCTCATCTCGAAGCCTTTCTACCTTTATCCCATGTTTGCTGCTAGTTACTGCCAATTTTTCTGCTATTTAAAAAGTTCACTTATTTCTTCTGTGAGAGAGACAGACAGGCAGCCCCACGGGGTCTTGACACTTCCTTTCACCCCAGCCTCAGCCAGCCCCAGATCACGGGCGCACCCATGCCTGGCGCGCTCAGGGAGGTCTCTGGACTTGAGCCAGGAACCTTTCCATGTGGTTTGCCCCACAGAGCATCTCATTTTACCACTGTGCTCTCTGGCTTGTCTGCCTTTTTTAAAATAGAACTCAGACGAGCTGCTGAGGCTCACTGGTTTTAGTTTTAGTTTTGTTTTTTTTTTTAGAGAGGTTTTTGCTATGTGGCACGTGTGCTTGCCAGAGAGACAGAGAGACAGAAAGTGAGAATTCACCCCCCCAGGGGAATGACCATGCCGCAATCTCTTCTCCTCCATTCTCCTCTCGGGATCTGGCGGACACACGCACATATACCTGGCTTGAGTTTTAAGCCTCTGGGTCTGGGACTTGAACCACAATTGACTACATGGGAGTCTAGTGATGTAACCATTATGCCATCTGCTAGTCCCTGGCTTGAGTTTTACTCGGCCAGTTTTTCTTAAGTGGGGCTTCAGCTGCCAACTTTGCACCAGCTCTGTTTTCATGCTTCACCTTCCTTGGCCCTGAGCAACATGGGCAAGTGGTGACTGCCTCCTTCCTAAAGCTCTTTCTCCCCTTGACCTCCAGCCCTCCCTTTCCAGGCTCCTCTGCTGGACACTCTTCCTGTTCTGACCTCTAACTCTGAGGCCCAGCTCAGGCATCTGTCTCCTCTCCATCTTCCCGCCTCCCTCTGTGATTCCCCAGTGCCAAGGCTTAGCTGCTCTTGCTGTTTCCCTGTCTTTATCTCTAGATTGTGCCTCTCTGAATTCCTGAGTTGTGTACCCACCGTCTTCTCTATGTCACCATGAAGAGTCTTTCATCGGAGAGACCAGCAGTTAGTGTAATGGCTATGTCGCTGGACTCCCACGTAGTCGACCGGGGTTCATCACCCGGACCTGGTGGCTTAAAACTCACGCCGGGCGTGTGTACGTGCATGCCCAAGATCCTGAGAGGAGAATGGAGAAGGGATTGCGGCGTGGCCATCCCCCCTGGGGGGTGATTTCTCGCTTTTTGTCTCTCTGTCTCCCTCTGTGTCTGTCTGGCGAGCGCATGCGCCCTATTACAAAAACCTCTCCAAAAAAAGAAAAGAGTCTTTCATCGGGCTAGTAGGTGGCCTGGTGGTTAATGCACTGGATCCCACATGACCAATTCCATGATTCGAGTCCCAGACCCAGCACTCTGAAAAATACACCAGGCATGTGTGCCCAAAATCCTCAGAGGAGAATGGAGGAGAAAGGATTGCAATGTGGTCATACCCCTGGGCAGTGGGTTCTCACTCCCCCATCTCTCTCTCTGTCTCTCTAGCAAGCACAAGCACCCTGTGACAAAACAAAACAAAACAAAAGAATCTTCCATCCACCTCATCTCCAAAATCAAGGTCCTGATTTCCCCCCGCCTGTTCCTGCGGTCTCTCTGTGTCCCTAAGTGGAACTCCATGTCCCTAGTAGGTCAGGGCATACTTTGGGGTCTGCCTTGACTCCTCATTTCCCTTTCATGCATTCCCCAGTATTCTGTTCGGACACCCTTTGAGCCTGCCTTCAGTATCTTCCTGGAATCTGCCAGCTTCTGTCCACCGGGATGCCCATAGTGGCCTCCTGAGTAGTGCCTCTGCTGCCCCTCGCTGTGGCTCAGCAGCCAGAGGAGGAATCCTGGGAGATACATGACTGGTTGGTTGCGTCGCTCCTCCATGGGCTTCGAGCCGTCTCCACCTCACCCTTCACACGCAAGCCAGTGCCTGTCCTAGGCCTCTTCATTCTCTCTCCCATCTGTTGCAGTGTTCTTCCTGGGGTGTCTGTGTGGCTTCATCAGATTTCTGTCCCATCACCTCCTCTGAGAAGCCCCCACTGCTGCCACTGCCCTGCCCTACTCAGCGTCCTGACCCTGCTCCCTTGCGGCCCCCAGCACATACGACAGTGCCCCGCCTGGGGTAGGGGCTCTGGTGTTCTTTCCACGGATGATCGAGTGTGCATCAGGGCAGCAGTCACAGTGGGTAGAGGACCCTGCCCTTCTCTGCATGAGGCACAGGAGTGACACAGATGCACTGCCATACCAGGCCTGGAGGTCCCCTCCGCTGTGGTGAGGGGCCAGATGGCAGCCCCTGGCTGTCTTCCGTCACGAGCCGTCTCCACCTCACCCTTCACACGCAAACCAGTGCCTGTCCTAGGCCTCTTCACTCTCTCTCCCATGTGTTGCAGTGTTCTTCCTGGGGTGTCTGTGTAGCTTCATCAGATTTCTGTCCCACAACCTCATCTGAGAAGCC